TTCCTTTCAGCTCTTTCAATATAGAAATGATCTGAAGCACTGACTTTCCTTCTTATTTATTTATTAAACGATCATTAGAGTATTCCTTGTATGGAAGGAGGACTTTGTCTCCAAACAGACAAGGCTACTGTGCAGGGTCAGTTATACCTCACGGCTGCTGAGGGCTTGACTGAGTTGCTTGTGCACAGGCATAAAGTGTCAGTGGAGATAACTAAGGTTCACTGCCCAGTCTGTACTGCTTCTCCGTAAGTCTGTGTTTCCTCATAAATCGACTCCACTTGGAGGACTGGGAACCCTTGGGTATGTTGGGTGGGAATAGGAGCCTGAGAATGGTCAACTAAATTGATTATTAGCTGTGTTTAAATACTCCCACCTGTGCTATGCCGTGTACTTCTCTGTGTAATACTTTGATATGCATGGTGCGAACAGCAGTTGGAGCTCTCACTGTATACTATTTTTTTTTTCCCAATGCCTTAGATAACCTGACTGATGTTAATTGCAACTTACTTCTCATTTGATTGTTTTTTTCTCATAGTTAAAAAAAGACCTGTGATATTAAAGTCTGAAGATGGTCATGGTGTTCAAAAGACTTATTTAGTCATTAGTCACTTGTGCTCAGGGATTTATTAGTCATGGTAATGTCTCCAATTAGTTGAAGGACAGAGAGCATTATTAGGGCACGTTTTGCCCAATTATTGTTAACTGTATACATGGAGTTTACTGTTGAGCTTATGAGGCTATAGCTGAAGTGTTACAATAACAAGCATGTAAAGAAGTAAGGTCTCTTTCCTGTTTATAAGATCATTAAAATCAGGATTATACCTGCAGTAATAGATGTAAACTAGCATCGTGCCATGGAAAAAAAATGTTTTCATGGTTTGTGTCATATTTTTGTTCTAAATCATCATAGAATCATAGAACAGTTAAGTTTGGAAAGGACCTTAAGATCATCTAGTCTCAAGACATTCTGAAAAAGACATACTGAGTGAACTTTGTTGGGAAAAAAAAAAGCATATTTTACAGTAAATGGAGACAGTGTATAGTGTCATAACCTTTACATAAACATAGAAAGGAAAAGAATTCCTCTTCAGTTAAGTTTGTCTTTCTTCCTGGGGTTGTGAGAGAGAGGGGGAAAGTGCTGTTGTTAAAGTGAGAGATTAATTGTCATTAATCTTTATGGGTGTGTAGATTTATTTTAACTGCAAAGAAGTAGAAAGCTGCTCAGCCCAAGTAAATGTGTCACTAAGTATTTGAGCAACACACCTGAATTTGACATTATCTGGTTTGGAATGAAGTTTGCCTTCTTCTGCCTTCTACCCTATTCCAAGTTCTGGAGATAAAACTGTCCTTTGCAATGTGAGACACACAGAAACTTGGGTGAAAGGCCAACAGTTTTGAACCATCTTGTTTTCCAGCATGAAAATGTTTCTTAAGGAACATGGTCTAGAGACCTTTATTAGATGTTGATAGCGCCATCTCAGCTGATCTTGCTGACAATTTAAATCTGCAGGGATTTCTACCTTTGAAACAGAGTAGTTCAAGCCTGTCTACTGTGACAAAGATTAGTAGTTCAGATTCCAAGAAATTAATATGTGCACAGTGTCTCTTCCCTGATCTGTGTGAGTCTGGGTATTCTTTTGGGAGATATTTATGCAACTCCCCCCAAAACATCTGGATTGAGAATTCAAGCTGGCAGGTGTTGTGTGCTCAATTTCACTGGAGGGCGTAAAGAGGACTTTCTGTAAATTATGGTCACTTCCTTTTTCCAGCCAGCATCATTCCTTTCTTAGCTCAGTGCTGTGGCAGCGCGTTGGTGATTATGGCTTAGAAATCAAAAGTGTAGAACTGGGTGCCATCAGCACTGCAGAGATGCATGCTCATCTTGGGCTCATTTTAAAGAAGAGATGAGTTAATCACAGTCAGTCATCTCTGAAATGGCCAGTAAGATAGGAACAGAGAGAGTAAGAATAGCTCCTTTCACTGTGTAGAACAGTGATAGTCTGGTGCCTTCATGTTTGGTTACATTAATTCCTAATTTGTATGAATTCCTTTGCTAGTTTAGCTAATGGATTAGTGAACTGCAAGCTCTTATTAACCTACCAACTGGTGTGGAAGTCTAGTGTATTTCTATTCTAGCAGTTGTCACTTTTTTAATGTATTGTGTTTTCTAGATAAAACCAGGTAGTTCTGTGTAAATATGAAATGGATGTTTTAAGACTCTTGTCAGACACTAAGAAATGTTGCCTTTAATAGAAGTACCCCTTAAATGAATTTAGCTAGCTGTGGCTGGTAAAGCGGCTGGATGTCAGGATGGATTTTTTCACTCTCTCCCTGGAACTGCATTATTAATAGCTTTCTGTAACCTGAGACGAGGTTGTTCAGCGAGGTTGTGCATTTCCGTCCTTGCAGCTCTGCAAGACCCAACCTGGTTAAGCTCTCAGCAACCTGCTGTGACCTCAGAGCTGGCCCTCCTTTTAGCAGGAGGCTGGACTAGAAACTTCCCATGATCCCTTCCCACTGGAGTTGTCCTGTGAATCTATAAATAAAATTAAAAACTCCAAAAAGTCAAGATCTTTGAGTGACTGCAGGTGAAGGTATCATGGTTGTAAGTCCTCTTGGGTTTAGGTGGGAATGGCATGACCTCTTGTACTTTTAATTTTTGCTAAATCTGTGCTGTTCTTAATAGCAGTGCGGAAAGAACATTGAAGCAGGAGAAAGTTGTGTCACCATCACTTAAAATTCTCTGCAAACAATTGGTCTGATCCTGAGAGTCAGGTACCCTGGCTCTGTACAAAACTGTGGTAGTTTCACTGTACTTTCTGCTCTTTGTGGAATGGAGGACAAAAAAAAAATGAAGAAAATGTTGGTTTCATAGTATCTTTTTCCTCAAAGAGCTGCTTATAAATTTTTACTCATCATCTTGGTGCCCCTGGGGAAAAACTGGGATTGCCTCTGCACTCTTAGCAACTGTAAGCTAATTTATGTAGTAATTAGATGACATAAAGTGCAAGCAGACAAAATATATATGTATAAAAATATAAAGCTGCATGGTAACAAAACATGAAAGAGATAGCAGTAAGTGGCTTTGAGGAAAAAGGGTGTACATTTAAAAACTTAGTTTCCTACTTCTTTTAGTGCTCCCTTTAGTGTGATCCTACTGATGGGAAATGTTAAAAATTTAATATCTGACATTTCTATATATCTGTTTAGTGCAGTAAAGATTTAAGTATTTTACAGTGAATTTCAACTTTAAAGAATGAAAGTGCTTTTCAGACTGTTACAGGGAAAGCTGTCAGTGAACCTTGTATTTAGATTGCATATCACTTTTAGCTGTAACAGCCTCTTGCAACTGGTTTGCAGCAAGCTAGGTATGAGAGTCTCGATATCTGAGCAGCGCCTTTTGTTCATCCCCTGGGAACCTGTTGAGCTGTGTCAGCCTCACTGTTGCACTTCCCAAATTAAGCAGGCGTGCCAAAACCATTGAGCAGTTTCCACAGCCTTGGTAGTCTTGATGCTCAGTGAGACGTGCTAATGTTATCTGAGGTGATGTGAGGTCTTACGAATACAGACTGTTTTGGTGCATGCCCTCAAAGGAGTACAGTTAAAGCCAGGTGTGCCTACCTACCCCATCTCTGTGCTTTTCTGACTTTTTCTGTCCTTTCTTCCTGGAGATGTAATATTGTCTCCATGTGGAACATGCTGGTGATCTTCATTCCTGTAGGAAATTTACTGAATGATTCCATCCCTAGTTTTGAGGGCAGCATGTGTCTGTGTAATTTAGAAACCCTTAAATCCCCTTCTGACCATATAACAGTAACATTTTTAGTTTTGGTGCACAATACAAATTGGTACAACAACAGTAATTTAATTCCCTTCTTTTACTGGAATGTTAGCTTATGCTAACCTTGGAACTGATTTATATGGTTTGCATACATTTGTAATAATTGCTAGCCAGTGTCCATTTGTGAAGATAACGTTGTGACTGTCAGAGGTACTGCTGTCAGTCTAATGCACTTTGCTTTACTTGAAGCCCTTAGCAGTTTCCCTCAAATAAACTGGATGAGTAATACAGATTGCAGACCTTGGCAGTGGAGGAATACTTAAGTCCACACTCATTTGATTCAAGTAGAAAGTTCTTCCATGCATTCTTTGACCTTTCAGTGATATAAGAGTGAATCTGCAGATGCAACCAAGCTACTTCAAGCGTGGGTTTTTTGGTGACTTAATGATTAACTATATATTGCTGCTTATCTAAAGATAGCCAGTAAATAAATGTATAAGTGTTCTCCATGTACATTTGTTTCATCTTGATAAAATAGGTAGCTAACAAATAATATTACTAGCTGAAAGGAATGGAACAGCATTTTAAACGTACCATGTATACATGCAGATACTTGACACATGCTGTGAATGTTTACATGGATGTTATATTTATTTGCTTTCTTAAAATTTGAATAGAGTTGAATAAGTTATACAAGTCTTACTTTTTTATACCATAGCTAGAATGGAGGCTACTGGGAAGGAAGTTCTTTGAATGTTCTTGACATCAAGTTGTATCTATTACCATGATTATGTATCTCTTAGAAATATTATCACCACGATTTGAAAATGAAATACATGCAGGGAGAAGCTTGTGAATTACATTTTGTGCTTTAAAACAGGAAAAGGCTGACAGGAAGGGTATGCCTACTGCTGCTTTTATGGGCTTGACTCATGGCTTGATTTTTTTCTGAATGGTTGATGTGTTAATGCCTCTGTTGACATGTTTATTTGCTTACACTCTCTACTGCCATAAAATAAAATGTTGGTGTTTTAAATAAGCAGCCTGCCTCTTTCTTTTGGCACCAGAATGCATTTAGATTTTTATAAAGTACTGTAAATACTGTTCAATTTTTTATCAGATTCTTCTTCACCTCTTGTGTATTTAGTTTCACTATGGTTGGGTTTTTTTTTTGTTTGTTTATTACCTAACCCTGCTTTTTTAAATTAATTTACTATAGAGCTGATAAAGCAGATGATGAAGATGATGAAGATCTAACAGTGAATAAAACATGGGTACTTGCACCAAAGATTCACGGAGGGGATGTAACTCACATACTGGACTCTTTACTTCAAGGATATGACAATAAGCTTCGGCCAGATATTGGAGGTAAGCCAATAAAATAACTCAGTAAATAGAAAACATGAACCCAAGATAGTGTGCATTTTATCACAGATGGCAAAAATCCATTTAATACAATTTTTAAAACTTAATATAGCAAGCTAAATATAATAGCAATAAAATGCAGTGTTCTTCTGGAACTGGTAAAAATAATGTTCTAGGCAAGAGCAGATTTTTTTTTTTTAATGTTCTATTTACAGTCTCTTTTATGTAAAGCATTGCTTTTTGTGGACATTAGGCAATCTATAATAAAACATTAGAAGACAATTATAGTTTGCTTTGTTTAACTAAGATCTTCTGGCAGAAAGAACTGTAGATATAAACCAGCCATGATTATTTAAAAAATTGGTCTTGAGTCTGTAGGAGTTATTAAAGATTATTCTTAGATATTTTTACTCTTGCTGTAGAAAGTGCATTGTAAGTGTGTATTCTGAGCAAAATTAACTCAACCCAGTTCTTCCATTCACTCAGATTTTGAAAAACTTCATAAGAATCTAAAAATATAACTTTGGACTATATCTTTTCTGGGCAATACAGAAAGGAAGACTGCATTACCAAATGTCAGACTGCAGCTAACAGGAAAGCGCTTTTGTCTTTCAATAGTCAGAGCATCAATTTGCATATAATTATTAAGTATAAATATTTGGAAGAATTTTGTGTTGAAAACATGAAATACATGAAACCTTGCCAGCTCTTGTCTACCATGTGCATGCTGGATCAAACTAGAAAAAATAATTTATTTTCTGAGTTTGTTTCCTGAACTGTGAAGGAAGAAGTGTAGGACTTAATTATTTGTTAAATACTTGGCATTCCCTATCAAAGTAATGTTATGTAAGTCTTTAAGCTGTTTATATGATAACACAACAATCTAGACTTGTTTCATTTATGTAGGAGAACAGAGATGCAATCTCAAGCTAAGTATTTTCTTTCGAAAGCTTCTGACAAATTGTTTTCTTCCCCGAATTTCTTAGTTCTCTTTTATTGTTGACTGTTACCCTGAAGATGATGAATGGCAATTTTTCTCTCGCTGTCATAATATAACCACATATGAATCTCATGAAGTTTTTTGTAAGTTTTTGCTTTCACATTCATTTAATTGTATAACTGCAAATATTGAGACAACAGGAAAGGTCTTCCAGATTATTTCCCCTTACATTCTCAATGTGTGACAGCTGTACGGTATTACTTTTTTTTTTTTTTCCCCTGACTGCTTTATGCAACAGACAGCAAAGGCATTATGAGGGAATAAACTGTCTCCTCTAGAATTCCTTCTAATGATTAGCTGGTAGGTGGGGATGAAAGAAAAGAGAATCCTGTTTTTCTTCTTTCCCCCTAAAACTAAGAAATAAATGGAGGGAAAATAGAGGAAGAAGTGTTTATTCTGACCTGTCAATAGATTTAGACAGTTATGGAAGAATTATGGTGTAATCCTTACCTTCACTTTTCTGATTATGTGCTGAGCCATATGTAGGGCAAGAACTCTGCCTTTTTGTGAGTGAGTGTACAGCATTTTGGATTCCAAATAATCAGCTCCTGAAGGAAGACAGTTCTGTCTTCTCTCACGTAAATGCTCCCTTTGTTTTCCTTCTTCACTCTCTTGATGTAAAACAAAACTCAGTTCATTCAGCTTAGTCTGCTTCAATTATATGGATAAAATCTGGTGTCAGATTCCACATATTCAGGATATATGTCAGTACTTGTACAACAAGCTTATTGAACTGGATTTCTAATTCTAAAGAACGTTTTTACTATTGAATTAATGAAGCTCAGTTACAATAGTTACAAAAATTTCTTCTGTTCTTTCTTTTTTTTTTTTAATAACCTGAACTTTCTAGGTTTGCATACCATGGCAGAATTTTGTTTTCCTCTTGATTTTGACATAGAATTTCAGCATCTCAGATTAAGATAAGGGGTTTCATTGTTAAACATCCATTTACTTGAGGGAGATAGAATCATAGAATGGTTAGGGTTGGAAAGGACTTTAAGATCATCAAGTTCCAACCCCCCTGCCATGGGCAGGGACACCAGACATTAAACTATGTTGCCCAAGGCTCTGTCCAGCCTAGCCTTGAACGCTGCCAGGGATGGAGCACTCACAACTTCCTTGGGCAGCCCATTCCAGTGCCTCACCACCCTTACAGTAAAGAACTTCTTCCTTATATCCAATCTAAACGTCCCCTGTTTAAGTTTGAAGTTGTTACCCCTTATCCTATCGCTATGGTCCCTAGTGAAGAGTCCCTCTCCAGGATCCTTGTAGGCCCCCTTCAGATACTGGAAGGCTGCTGTGAGGTCTCCACGCCACCTTCTCTTCTCCAGGCTGAACAGCCCAGATTTTGTGGCTGTTTTCATATGGGAGGTGCTCCAGCAGCCTGGTCATCCTTGTGACCTTCCTCTGGACTTGCTTCAACAGCTCCATGTCCTTCTTGTGTTGAGGACGCCAGAACTGTACACAGTACTCCAAGTGGGGTCTCACAATAGCAGATGATAAAGGAGAGCCAAATAAAATTGAAACATCAGAGGCGATACTGAAATTCAATAGGAGAACGCCACACTTTGTCATTTTCTCTTTGCCTTATTTAAATATCTTCTGAGATTAAGAATATTTAGCAAGATTTGAAGGAAATTGAAATACAAGAGCAAGAAGTTTAAGAGCATATGCAGTGAATGTTAAAGGTACTGGATGTGTGCACTGCATGAAAATGATGGAAATATTAAAAGTGGTGTTTGGAGTATTTGCTAAAGATGGGTTTCTTTTAAAGGAAAAGGTAAAAGAAGTGTAGAGAGTAAGGCTCTGTCTTCATCAAAATCACTTTGAAAAAATTCTTCAGAGTTGGAGCTGGTATCCTTCTGTAGACACTTGATGAATTTTCAATATAGATAACCATATAAGTAATACTGTTAGATAACTGGTTGTGAAAATTGTGTTATTCCATAGAAAACTGTAGCAAACTAATGGCCTGTTATTTCTGAATGTCATAGTTGCATAATTTATTTGCTGAATAACTGCTTTAGCACCAAGAAAAACATGTTATAGAAAACATGTTCATATAAAAAATAAGCCTGGATAAAATTATCAAAAGTCTTAGTTTAAATCAAACAGCATGAAAAGTAATAATTAACAAAAGGTGATGTAGACCTTCATTCTAAAACGACGAACTGTGGTAAACTATGGGAACCAGTTAGTGAATTTAGGTGGACTGGCATGCTGTTTTTCTCATTATCTTCTCTGATTTTTGTAGCAATAAATTAAACAAATTTTCCCAAGTCAAGTCTGTTTTGCCCATGACCATAATTGTTGATGGATTGGCTTGTCTTTATCTCAACACACTAGCCTTTTGTTACATTTTCTTTCCCCCTCTCTGAGGAGCGGGGTGATAGAGTAGCTTTGGTTACCATGTGGCATCCAGGCAGGGTCAAGCCACCACAGCCTGGGTGTAATGCAGCATTATTTCTTATTAGAAGAACAGCGGTACATGCCTGCTGAGAGAGGCTTTTTTCCAGGTCTTGTTGCTTGTTGGGAAGTTCATTCTTGCTCTTGAATTCCAGGCCTAAGAGTATTTTATTTACTGTATTTCTTGGGACAAGACTGCCCTCAGCTATGTGCTCGTGTTAGATGATGTCAATACCTGTCAGACCTATTAAACCAGAAGACAAATCATAGAATCATAGAATAGTTAGGGTTGGAAAGGACCTTAAGATCATCACGTTCCAACCCCCCTGCCATGGGCAGGGACACCTTCCACTAAACCATGTCACCCAAGGCTCTGTCCAACCTGGCCTTGAGCCCTGCCAGGGATGGAGTGTTCACAACTTCCTTGGGCAGCCCATTCCAGTGCCTCACCACCCATAACAGGAAAGGATTTCTTCCTTATACCCAAACTAAACTTTCCCGTTTAAGTTTTAAACCGTTACCCCCTATCCTGTCACTACAGTTCCTAGTGAAGAGTCCCTCTCCAGCATCCCTATAGGCCCCCTTCAGATACTGGAAGGCTGCTATGAGGTCTCCACGCAACCTTCTCTTCTCCAGGCTGAACAGCCCCAACTTCCTCAGCCTGTCTTCATATGGGAGGTGCTCCAGTCTCCTGATCATCCTCGTGGCCCTCCTCTGGACTTGTTCCAACAGTTCCATGTCCTTTTTATGTTGAGGACACCAGAACTGCACACAATACTGCAGGTGAGGTCTCACAAGAGCAGAGTAGAGGGGCAGGATCACCTCCTTTGACCTGCTGGTCACGCTGCTTTTGATGCAGCCCAGGGTACAGTTGATTTCTGGGCTGCAGGTGCACACTGAAGCCGGCTCATGTTAAGTTTCTCATCGACCAGCACCCCCAAGTCCTTCTCCACAGGGCTGCTCTGAATCTCTTCTCTGCCCAACCTGTAGCTGTACCTGGGATTGCTCCGACCCAGGTGTAGGACCTTGCACTTGGCATGGTTAAACTTCATGAGGTTGGCATCAGCCCACCTCACAAGTGTGTTGAGGTCCCTCTGGATGGCATTCCTTCCCTCCAGCGTATCAACTGAACTACACTGCTTGGTGTCATCGGCAAACCTGGTGAGGGCGCGCTCAATCCCACTGTCCATGTCATCAACAGAGATTTTGAATGAGACTGGTACCAACACCGATCCCTGAGGGACACCACTCATTACAGGTCTTCAGCCGGACATTGAGCCATTGACCACAACTCTTTGTGTTTGGCCATCCAGCCAGTTCTTTATCCACCGAGTGGTCCATCCATCAAATTGATGTCTCTCCAATTTAGAGACAAGGATGTCATGTGGGACAGTGTCAAATGCTTTGCACAAGTCCAGGTAGATGACATCAACTGCTCTACCCCCCTGTCCATCAGCTCCGTAGTCCCATTATAGAAGGCCACCAAATTGGTCAGGCAGGATTTCCCCTTAGTGAAGCCATGCTGGCTGTCCCCAGCCACCTTGTTGTTTTTCATGTGCCTTAGCATGCCTTCCATGAGAATCTGCTCCAAGATTTTGCCAGGCATAGAGGTGAGACTGACTGCTCTGTAATTCCTCGGCTCATCCATTTTCTCATAGTTTAGTCTAGTGAAGAAAACATGTCAAAACAGGAAATCAGAAAATGTGGATAGATCTCTCTAGACTGGGCTTAACAACCTGGTTCCCTGTGTACTTAGCTATGTTATGAGCTGATGAACTATCCCTTGGGGACAGCTGCCCCTTGGTGCTCTCTCTCTGAGTGTGCAATATGCTGTCCTCTCACCTTCTTACTTTACTCTAGCCTATCTCATGATGTCTTTCAGTGTAAATATTTTGAGTGTGCAAGCCTTTTCTCCCCTTCCTTAGAAGCTTCTGTATGTTTACAGTGCTGTTCTGCACTTCAGGATGTGTTAAATAGCCTCCTTCCTTCTCATAGTATTTTCAAGGTTGATTCAAAACTTTTAAAGTAAAATAAGGATTCACAGTAGAAAAATCTCAAACCATCTTTCATTTAGCTCTTTGTGAAGTGTAAATGAGCAATAGTAATTATACGGATGTCAGGAAAGTATTTTCCTCCAGCATTTGTTGTTTTCATGGACTCTTACCACTTCTAGTTCAAGAATACAAGAAGAATAAATTCTTTTTTTTCTGATTCACAGTACTTTGCTCTGTGCTACGCAGAAGAACTGAGGTAGCAGAGCATCCTGTTCCAGTCTTCTTGAATTGGATCATTTGGGTCAATTAAAATAATTTCAACTGAGGCAGATTTTCAGACTCTTCATTGGCTCTTAATAGCTCTTCTAGTCTTACTCAGAGCAGTATGGAAAAGGCAAATTGAACTCCATGGCACATTACAGGCTAGCCCTTGTGGCAGATCAAGTGCTGCTCGCTGCAAGCTGAAATTTCATAAAATTGACAAAGTCCCCATTAAAAACTGGCTTGATGAAAGATACAAAAATTTAGTTGTTAATAAGTAAGTGTCAGTGGGCTGTCTATAATGGGGTCTCACAGGAAAGTCTTGATCAAGAATATTGATACTTTGACTGATTTTAGCAATCAATTTTTGTACTAAAGTTGGCGGATGACAGACTGTGGGAAAGGAAGAGGCTGTATCTGCAAAGTAATCAGCTCCTTCAGTAAAACTGGAAATACAAAAACTGAGGGGGAGAGGGGGAAGATGGGGGAGAGAGAAGCAGCCTGTGGGTCATACTGTAAGGTAAGATTCTGCATAGTAAAGCAGTGACAGCGAAGGCAGGCTTCAGAGGTGACCTTAATCACTGTGTATAGGCGCTTGCATCCAAAGAAGAGGTTTGAGACATGGCTGGGCAGTGCTGAAAGCCTGAGTAAAAGACTTGAACCTCCGAACAAAACAAGATGTCCTAACACTGAAGAGAATTAAACATTTCCTATTAATATGGGAGAAAAATAGAGTATTCAGCATTGCTTGAACAATGAGGCAGGATGCACTTTGATCCATCTCCTTGTTTCCTACTCTAGCAGTCGGATAAACAGGGTTGCAGAATTAAAGGAAGAGGATATCTGCCAGATGTGACATATGTAAATTATATTACATTTTACATATGTGTGTAAACACACATGTATTACATACTAATATTTTCTCTGATTTTTTTCAGTCTGTGGATGTGACTTCTTGTGCTGCCCCCATTCCTCTATGGGCCCTGCAGATGGTGAAAACATTTGCAGCTCAAGAAGTACTTGCTTTTTCACTCCCCTCCAGGAAATAAATTGATTTCTAGAGTCTGTTTAAACTTTCTGTGAAGCATGCTGGGGACAGGATGGTGACCAAGTGACCGTGCTCTGTGGTCATCTAGAAAATCTTTTGTGCAGCCTCAGCAGTGTGTCTTGCTGTCATGCTCAGTGACTGGATTTGGAATCGGGGAGAATTTCCTCCCAAGTGAGAATGGTGGGACAAAGGAATCTTAGGATATTTAGGAAATGTATCTTGCCTGTCATTGTAACTGGCGAGGATGTTAATGATACCCTATTTCTTTCTGTGTATCTGTTTTTTAGATTCTGAGATTTGAAAAGTCCTCTCAAGGTTTTTGATTTGTTATAGAGCACTTGTGTGATCTTTGATGGTTTGCAGTATAAAGAAATCAAATCTGAAGACATAGTCCCTTTCTTAGGAAATCAAAGTGCCTTTTTGTTTGCACCTTACACCTTTTCCACCTGCAGATGGACAGAGATGCTTCATTTTAACATGCCACATCATGAAATAAAAACCAGCAGAGCTTTGTTATTAACCCTCTTAATTCCACTGGGACTAGGACATATGTATTTTTGTGTCCTCATTTTGTCTCTCCAGTACAAGCTGGTACTTAGAAGAAAATGTTTGGCAAATTGATGAAGTTAAAATGCATCCTGACCTCTTCTCTTCCCCCCCCCGTAAACCAGTTTGGAAGAAAAAACTGAATTATCTGTGCAACCTGTATTTCAGACAAATACCTTTATGCCCTCATGCAAGTGCACAAAGAAAGAAAGTATATTCTGTAAGAGAATATATATTTTTAAGCAGTTAATTTTTATCTGCCCGGTGAGAGTGGTTTTAAAGAAAAATACATTTTGAAATGGTTAACTTCTAAATGACTTTAACTTCAGGAGCTTTAGTTTAGCATTTGAAGCACCGTATTAAGTCAAATAAAAAACATTAGTAGTCCTTAGGTGTACTGTAGTTGCATGAATTGAAGAAATCTGTGGTGAAAAGTGTTGGGTTTTGTTGGGTTTTATTTATTTAGTTAGCTAGTTAGTTACATGTTTTCAGTAGGAATCAACAGGAGGCACTGCACATTGATTCGTTACAGCTGATAAACATATCTGCTCCCAGACCTTATGGGTTTTTGTATGAGCAATTTTTCCCAAACATTTTTTCTGTTTCTGATTAAGGTTTTATGTTGGAAAAACAGATTTTGTGTTTGTTTTCTTTTGGTTTTTAATTCTTTTACCTTCTATGCCTTTTATATCTGGTTGTTCAAAAAGCACTGGTGGAGATTGCGTTATGAAGTAAAAAATTTATGTTGATAATTCTAACGAGTCGTATGGAATAGGGAGCCAAGTCATATATGATCCTTCCCAGAATGAACAAACCAGAGATTTAATTATTCTGAATCTCATAAAAGAATATCAGATTTGTTGCTATTTTAATAAGCTAAATGATTCTAACAATGTACATAGTTAATGAAATATGTAATTATTATGCTTATTGTTTTGTTCAGTGAGAACTACAGTGATTGAAACAGATGTCTATGTTAACAGCATTGGCCCAGTTGACCCAATTAATATGGTAAGTTCTGATTATTGCCAGAAAATATTATCTGATGCTATAGATTAATATTATGAAATACTTATAATCTTATTCAAATAAGTTTATTTTTTACTATGTATTCTTATGCTGTTGGATATGATTGTGATTATTGCAGAAACATGTTTAGACTTGTCCTGGGTTCAGCAGTAGCAGTCATTTTTCTCCTTCTTAGTAGCTGGTGCAGCGCTGTGTTTTGACTTTTGGCCTGGGAACAGAGCTGATAACAAGGATGTTTTGGTTTGGCCAAGGACTTTGTGAGCCTCATGCTCTGCCAGGGAGGAGGGGAAGCCGGAAGGAAGCAGAGACAGGACACCTGACCCAAACTGACCAAAGAAGTATTCCATACCACAGCATGTCATGCCCAGGATGTAACTAGGAGTTACTCGGAAGGGCTGGTGGACTGCGGGGTTGGAGGAGTGTCCTGGGTTCAGCAGTAGCAGTCATTTTTCTCCTTCTTGGTAGCTGGTGCAGTGCTGTGTTTTGACTTTCGGCTCGGGAACAGAGCTGATAACAATGATGTTTTGGTTTGGCCAAGGACTTTGTGAGCCTCACGCTCTGCCAGGGAGGAAAGGAAGCTGGGAGGAAGCAGAGACAGGACACCTGACCCAAACTGACCAAAGAGGTATTCCATACCACAGCACGTCATGCCCAGGATGTAACTGAGAGTTAGCCAGAAGGGCTGAGACTCCGGGGTTGGAGGAGGTATTGGCCAGAGCTTGGTCAGGCCGGGGGGGCGAGTTATCCGTCAGCTGGTGCTGAGGTGTTGTATTCTCTTCCCTTGTTATTTCCTTTATCATTGTCGTCGTTGGTGGTAGCTGTGGCGATTTGTGTTGTACATTGGTTGCTGGACTGTTCTTATCTCAACCTGTGGGAGTTGCATTCTTTTCGATTCTCCTCTCCGTCCCTCCGGGAGCGGGGAAGGGGAGAGCCCCGGGGGGGGCCTCGTTTGCTCTCAGCCCGGCACTACTCACTGGGAGTGAGTGAACAAGCTGTCTGGCTCGGGTTTAAACCATGACAAGGAGGTATTGGTCGGTGCTCAGTCGGGTGGGGTGGGGCGAGTTATCGGTCAGCTGGTGGTGAGGTGTTGTATTCTCTTCCTTGTTATTTCCTTTATCATTGTTATTATTGATGGTAGCAGCAGTGATCTGTGTTATACCTTAGTTACTAAACTGTTCTTATCTCAACCCCTGGGAGTTGCATTCTTTTTGATTCTCCTCTCCATCCCTCCGGGAGTAAGGGGAGGGAAAGAAGGGGGAGTGAGCAAACGAGCTGCCTGACTGGTTTTAAACCACGACAGACTCTATTCGAAATTGTTGTAATTTCAAAAATAGATATCTACTTTAAAAAATGAGGTCACACAGAGGACATTGCGTCAGCTCCTTATTTTGGTTTGTGTTGGATATTTTCCCTATGTTTGTTTATAGCTGGTTTATCTCTAGCCCAGTATAATTTCCTGGAGCTACTCTTCAAAGGTTATAAAAAATAACAGTTGAACCACACTTGTGAATAAAACTATTTTCAGTACATTGATTTATTATTACTTCTTCAAATTCACAGAAAAACCTGAAATTAACACTTTTTTTTTTTACCAAGAAACGTTAGACCAAATGATCCCTGAGGTCCTCTTCCATCCTGGTATTCTGTAATTCTGTGATTGATTCCTTTGTTGTCCTTTTTCTATGTGCATTAAGCCTTATGGGCCCTTTTTGTGGGGTGTGTGTGTACACATAGCGGGTTTCTTCAGAAGTTGAGCAACATCTTATCTAGTTTCTTGTAGAAACTTGAGATTGAACCTATTTGGTACCAACACTGAAGTAACAGCAGTTATGAGGTAGTTAAGTCTGTGACCTTTTTTCAGATCACTTAGCTTTTCTGTCACGATGTGCATTGTATGAAATGGTAGTATTGGACGCTTTGGAAAGGCCTTGTTGCATGACTTCCTCTGGGGACTGCTGCCCAGGACTAACACTGGGAATGGTCTTTGGGCGAGTTTGAGTTCAGGCCCCTCCCAACTTTTTTTCTTTTCCTCCTCCCTACGGAATTGCTGACAGTATTGAATTTGCATGGCAGAGAAGCCTTTTGTTCAGTCTGAGGCTGGAGTACGCCAGTGCAGGGGGCTTCTGAACATATGGTGAAAGCACAGTAATTCTGATTATTATTAAGGATCTTGTGGTTTATGTGTATGTCATCATGCTTCGGTGGGGAGTATCAGCTTTCAGTGATGGAAAGCAAGGCAGGAAAAAACAGTAGTACTTAGACACTGCGGATAGAAGTGCCAGACATAAATGATGCAGATCTGTTGCAAAGGATATCCGTTCCAGCATAGAAGTCTAATAAGTTTAGGGTTGTCATTATCTGGGGCTGTGTCAGGGAAGTCCATGTCTCAGACCACACTGAATGTAAAGAAATACATGAAAGTGCAGAAGAGTGATGGGGTGGGGAAACTTTTTGATTTCCATGTCTGGTGTAAGTGGTATCTTCAGTTTTGGCTATCTTCCTGTTGCAGTCTTTCTCTTTTTTTTTCTCTCCATCCTATCCTATCTTGAAGGAATGTATTGTGGGAGCAAAATGTGTGGACAGAATTACCTGTAAGGAGGATATAGAAAATGGTAGAGGCTTCCTTTTCCAGTAACTTACATTTCCAGAAATATAAATTCTTCAGCCTGTGGCCAGTGCATACCCTGGAACTGAAACAGCTTCAGTTTTCCTGTTTTAAAGCAGGTGGCCTTGCCCCATCTTCCATGCCCTTTTCTTGTGTCTGCAGCCCCTGGCAATCTTCCTGCTGCTATGTACCATGGCCTTCTGCTTGCTCAGCAGTGTTATCATGCACTGCACTTGCAGTAATGACAGTATCAGCCATGGGACTACTTCATGTCACTCATTTTTGAGATCTCCACGCATCTGCTAGAGCTGTCATAGAGCTAGGTGTGCTACTCTCATGGTACTAATAAAAACCAGTCCAAGGTAAGGATAGCACCATACTGAAAAGGCAAATTATTTCATTAGAGAGCATGATCCCAGTAGTTATAGTGCATGTCAGATGAATGTTTATCCCTCTAACCCTGATATCTGAAAAAAAACCAAAACAAAACCAAAACAGGATGGCAAAGAAGCTTTCCACCAAAGGGTAGTAAGGTAAATGTCATTAAGACATAAAGCTTCAAAAACTATTCTATGGTTTTAAAAATGGGCAGAGAACTACATAGAAATTGAAATTACAGTCTGAGGACACTATGGCCTTCATAAAAGAGCTATTGCTTTCACTGGGTTTGGATTCCAGGAACCAGGAGCATCTGAGCATCACTACAAAAATCTAATGTTTGTGGGAAATAAATCCATATATATGCAAATAATTTAATTAAGATTTCCTAAAAAGATGTTTCTAATTTGGGAAACAACATTCTCAGGAAAAAAAAAAGGTAATTACAGATTTGACCCTATAAGCTCTCTTGTTTTCATTAGGAAGGCAATATTGTTTGAGATTTTTAACCAATAATCCCAAAATTGCTTCAATTTCAAAGGCTGTCTTTAGCCCTTCATTTGATCACTTAATGTGAGAACACATATCTGTGATTACCCATTGGATTACTCATTTGACATATATGTTAATTCACTATGACAAATGATGTCCTTCAGCTTAGTTTGGATGCAATATGGCATCATGTAGAGAGCAATTTTTCCTAACAGTGATGCTGAAGCAGCATATCAAGGGAGTATGTTTGAGAGCTTCAGAGGACACATACAAGAGGAAATGGGTTTATTTTTGTAATTCAGTCTGTTTTCCTCTTGCTTCTGGTAGACTTTCACTTTTATGAAAGGGATGCTTTAGGTGTATATATGACGTTCATTAGAATTAGCTTCTGAGGGCTGTTGTGTTTTGGCTTTCGCTATTTAACAAAGATCTACTCAAAATTGTAGACAGTATAGACACTCCATGTTTAAGAGATGTTTTTCTACAATATGTGATCTCTTCAGGCAACTACAACCTGAGTAAACATTTTTAAGAAAGTGTCTGCATATTTATGCTTCTAATACTCATTAAGCCTAAAAATTTTTGAATGTGTTTTTTAGTGCTAAACTGGGCTATGCATTGTGCAACAATCATGTAAAATGCAGCTAAGTGCATTTTTATGGCCAAAGTCTTGATCCTTAAGAGCTCTGCAGTGTTCTAGGGCTTTCTTAAAATGTAGACATGATGAATATTTAGAGCTTGGTTTCCTTGTATGCAGAGGCTCATTCATAGAATCGTAGATTGGGTTGGAAGGGACCTTAAAACTCATTTAGTTCCAACCCCTCAGCCATGCACAGGGATAACTTCCACTAGAACACGTTACTCAAAGCCCTGTCCAGCCTGGCCTTGAATGCTTTCAGTGGCGGGGCATTCAGTTGGGCACTTAATGTAAATGTTGTAGGCTCTTACTACCTTTCTCTTGCCTTCCAAACTAGGGCCAAGATGGAAAAAAAAAAAAAAAGTCAGTTTGGTGGTACTATTTGGTAGAGTCTGATGTACGGTCAGTGTTTTAATCTGTGTTGCCTGTGGGTCTCAAGTTTTCTCTGCCCTGTATTCGTCCCCCAAACCCTATGTGTGCATAAATGCGCAATGTTTTGTGCTGTTGGTGCCCCAAGGGACCTGGGAAGAACCATGCAAGTGCCACAGCTTTTGTAGCTTGACAAGACGAGGCAAGTGTGCAAGTTAGTGGGTTGGGGAAGGCATGGTGGCACTTCAAGGCATTTTCACCTTCCTTTAACTAAGAGAATACCTGATCTTGTAATTTCTGTTGAACTCATATCAATAAATGACTGCTACCCCAAATGAGAGTTTTTGGAGAAGGATTCACAGGAGCAGTTCCTTAAGTAAGAAGCAGTATTGCATTGTGTCAAAAATTAAGAGCAAACAGAAAAGTTTGTACTTTCCTTGTCCTTAATGTCAGTTTAATCAGGCTTCATATAGGAAACAGTAGAGCAATGCTCAAGTAACA